ACAAAAGTTGGTGGATGATGATTCTTCACCACCAGAATTTGGCGATTGGATCCACTAATCTCTCTTGCTTTAAAAAAATTCCTAATGTCTCTACAGTGGCCCCCGAACTACAAAAATTGGTGGATGATGATTCTTCACCACCAGGATTTGGCAGTTGGGTCCCTTTATCCCCAATCGCCCTTTGAAAGGAGAAGTACATGTGGTATTTTTTCCGCCTTCTTAGCATGCCTTCGTGGTGTAGTGGTCATCACCCTCGACGCGTATTCGAGAGATCCGTGGTTCGAGGCCCGGTGAGGGCATTACTGATTTCACATCTCTTCTGTTTAAAAAAAAATCCTAATTCTCTACGGGGTTAATATGGATACTATGAAGTTGTCTGGAAAATAATGCAGGGTTTTGCAATTATTTACCTTTCCTGTACACTTTTAGCAACAAAAAATTTTGAATTACATTGATTTATATATCATTTTGAAGCTCTATTTTCGTTCTTTATTTCTATAATAATCATTTTGTTCCAAAATTATTTTCAAAAATATTTACTAGGTATTTCTGTTTAGATGTCAAAACGAGATTTTCTGCAAATTTACTTTAATGAGTACAAGCTAGGCCACAGCGCAGCACAAACGGCTCCAAATGTCAACGAAGTATGGGAGGAGAAAAGTGTTAATGAATCTACAATTCAACGGTGATACCAAAAGTTTCTCGTGGAGAATTTGACTGGAAGATCAAGAGCGCCGTGGACGCTCTTCAGCTGTTGATGACGATGATTTGAAGACTATAGTTGAAACAAATCAAAAGTTTCTCGTGGAGAATTTGATTGGAAGATCAAGAGCGCCGTGGACGCTTTTCAGCTGTTGATGACGATGATTTGAAGACTTTAGTTGAAACAAATCCGTTCGCAAGTGTTTGACAGCTTGGCGTAAGCAAAACAACGATTTCAGATCACTTGAATCGCATAGGAAAGTAAAAGAAGTTGGATAAGTAGGTGCCTCACAAATTGAGCGAAAATAAAAAAAATCGCCATTTTGAAGTATCGTCTACTTTTTTTTTTCTCCACAACAAAAACGACCCTTTTCTTGATCGAATTGTTACGTGCGATAAAAAGGAGATTCTCTCCAACAACTGGCGACATTCAGCTCGGTGGTTGGACAGCGGTCAGACACCATAGCACGTTCCAAAGCCAAATTTGCACCAAACGAAAATTATGGTGACTGTTTGGTGGTCTGCGGCCGGTCTCATCCATCACAGCTTCCTAAATCTGGGCGAAACGATTACGACAGACAAGTACTGTCAGCAAATCAACGAAATGCACCAAAAATTGCAACGCATGAGCTCGGCATTTGTCAACAGAAAGCGTCCAGTTCTTCTCCATGATGATGCTCAGCCGCACGTCGTGCAACTGACACTCCAGAAATTGGACGAATTTCTGGAGAGTTTACGAGACTCTCCCTCTTCCCCCATACGCCGGACCTCTCGCCGATCGATTACCACTTTTTCAAACATCTGGATAACATTCTGCAGAAGAAATGCTTCAGAAACCAAGACGAGGTCAAAAACGCCTTTGACAACTTTAAAGCGTCCAGAAAGCCAGAATTTTATTCTACCGGCATAACTAATATCATTGGCAAAAATGCATTGATTGATCATGCATTGATTTGGCAAAAATGCATTGATTCGGCTGGAGCATATTTTGATTAATAGAATTGTTTTTGAGTTGAGTTATGATACTTTAAAAATATAGTTTAAAAACCTGCATTATTTTCCGGACAACCTAATATTAACAATAATAACAACAGCATTATCCGCCGAAATCCGATTTTGTTTTTTGAACTGCTTCTAGATGAATTAATATTTTTTCAAATGACCCAATTTATTTTCGAAGTACTTTCAAAGCCCTATTAGAGTAAAGGTTATCAATTTTTCAATTTTGTGGTCCATATTTTTGGCTTTCACTCACACAGTCCCACTCAAATCTCGCAGTCTCTCTCAAAAGATGAATTCACAGTCGAATTCATTAATTTTATTAAACTCAAATAATTTTCGTTTTCTAAAATGATTAATAAAACATTTAAACAATGATAATTTTAAGCAATAATTTATATGTAACAATAATATTAATTTTTTCCCCTAGAGTTTGAAAATCGCAGAATAAACTCTTATTATAGCAGAAAGTTTTATTTCCGAACTCTAGTTTTCTGTTATTTTATATGGTATTCTGTTAGCGAGCTAGCGGTTCGCCATACATACTTTAGGATATTACGAGCGGATTAAGACAACTCATCGCCGTTCTTTTTTAGCCCTTGTAGGGTTGCCATTGTTTTAAGTAATCAATTCCTTTTCAATTCCTCACCAGAATGCAAATCATATTGAGAGAATTTTAGACAGAGCGTGCAAGGCCACGTTTTACGTTTCGCTAGATTTGTTAAGATTGTAATTCTACGGCTTTGCATTTTTGCTGGCAACATTTAAATTGTTACGCCAATGAGAAATTTTGAGCCAACTTCACGATAAATCATTTGTGAATTCTCTGATTTCTAGTCTTAGTTTATACTTGAATTTAAATGTTACTCTAAATTACATCGCCCCAAGGGGTGGTTGTTTTGTAAGTACGAGACGCGCTAAGTTCAAGTTCTAATTTAATAGAAAGGGTGTTTTAAACGTTTTCAGGGCGTTGTTGTTTCTTCATACCAAGCCTAAATTCGCTCTAAGTCTAGAGATTTTTGTGCTAGGTTGTACGACCAAAGATCATACTGTTAGCCCTATAATATATCCAACAGTGACTTTTCCTTTCCATTTCCTACAGGTCGTCATGTTTGCAACATAGCAATGACGAGTCGAGTCATGTAAATATTTCAGTTTCAGTTTCTTTTCTTTTAATTACCAGTATATAAGTAATATTTAGTTATTGTTTTTAGACTATTGTTAATTATTTATTTGGTTTAAGATTTTTGTTCAAATGGTTTAAGATGTGAGATTTTACACTTATAATTTTAAATAAGTTTCTGCATTTGATTTGGTTTAGCGACTGTATTAATTAAAACCTGCTTTTTGCTTTATGTTATAAATTTTTAACATTATTTGTTTCTGTTGCCAAACTCTTTTGCCAATTTCTTTGCGGATTTAATCCTGCGTATCGAATTTTATTTACCAGTCACGTTTTTGCCATTGTTTCCTTTACTTTGGACGTTGGCTTTTTGAACTGATATTATCGGAAGTAGAGCTGGTTTCAGTTGAATTTTAAAAGTATTTTTACTTAAATTATTTTGTACGAAATTAAATTTGACTAATTCTTATATATGTATATATATATATATATATAGTTAGGAAACAATTTAAAAAAACACTGGATTTCAATGCATAATGCTGTTCCCTGATAAACGTTATATCCATTTTAATTGTTGTTTTTCTATTATTACGAAATTCTCCTTTATCTATTTTTCACTGCAGAATTCACCCTGAAAAAAGTGTCTTTTGCTTTTTAAATATTGAGATTATTATTCCGTTTGGGCATTTCTTTAGATTGGAGTTTTAGCCGTGACCCGTACTTTAATAATTACATTTTTGTTGCTGTATCTAAGTTACGTTGAATGATTCTAGCATATTCTAGGACCATTAGCGACCGTGGTAAAATCTTTGAACCCTGGTAGTTCCGATCTGAGTTAGAGTCCAGGTAAACGGGCTGTCTTCATGGACGTTTTTGTGGTTTTCAGCATGTGCAGCGTGTATACAAGCCACTTTCTCTTAGAAAGTAATCCAGGAAGGCAAGCCCTAGTGTGTCTTGCCATAATAAACTAAACCAAGCCCAAACTAACCTGGCATATTCTTCTGTAGTAATGTTTTTTGGATATTCTCTTATATTATTCTTAATCCTAGTATGCTGCCCATATCCTGGAGTTTTCATAAAGCGTCTGTTTTTATAAAAGTCGATACAAAATTAGTTTTGTTTTAATCTTTCCTATCGATTTACTCAACTAAGAGGATTATTATTATTATTATTAATTAGCCCAGAAGTTTAATTTCGTTTTGGCATTTTGCGGTCGTCCTGTATAAAAGGGTGTTTCATCTTTCAAATTGCTGCCACTAAATATTACAGACCAGCATTACATTTAAAGAAACTAAATACTGAAGAATCTGCATGAATACATGTATGTTTCTTGCACTGTGAAAAAATAAGGGTACCTAGAGACTTCATATTTTGAATAACGTAGTCCTCCACTCGAATATGGGCATCTGGAAGCTCAAATTTGGAATTTTTTTTTATTATCTGTTTCATATTTTGCAAACCTTCAAACGAATTTTTTATTAAACTCAAGGATTTCAAAGCGAGCAGTGGAAGCACTGTACAGAAAAAAAAAATATGTCTCCAGCGCGCGAAACTGTGTATCGGAAATTCTAAAGATAAGCTGTTTTTAAATATTTTGTGATATTGCTGTTGAATTGGATTTCATGTTGTTTAAGTGCGAAGAACACGATATTTAATCAATAAAGGTGACACACAAAACGTTAAAAAAACGCCCCTCTGGGGAATAATGCTTTCAGATTTTATTATTATTATTATTATTATTGTTTTAAATTATTTTATAACGACCGTTTCGTTCAAAGGTTTTCGGAAAGCTAACATATATAAAGCCTTTGAATCCGTCAACTTTATATATTTAATTCTGTTGTTATAATTTTAATTTGATCTTAATTTTCCATACATTTTTAAAATCATTGCATTAGTACGTCTTTGTTTGTCTTATGAATCTCCTTCGGTATTTGGATATAACATCCTATTTAAAAATGCATTCCGTTAGTATGAATCTGATTTTGCCTAATTTTTAAGCTTTTGAATGTTGAGTAATATGTTCATTAATTAGTTCTGCCATATTAAATAATTAGTTCTTTAAATAATGGTTGCTAAATAATTGGTTGTTGAATAATTAGTTCTGCATTGCAATGCATTGAATATTTAGCTCTTCATGTTGCATGCCAGTGAATAAAAAAACTTGATGCTAAAAATGCCTGGACGGCATTCCAGGTATAATATAGCTAAGGAATTTATTAAGGTATTTATTTTCATGTATTGTAGTACCTTCTTCAAAGCTGAAAATGTAACAAAATAGTACCCTTATGAATTGCCTTAATTTTTGTTTTTGTTTTGTTCTTATAGGATGTCCATACAATAAATCTGGAAGATTTTCAGTACATAGGGACAAATATCACAGGATTCCGAATAGTGGACGAAGATGCATCTGGCTTCCAAGAGATCGTTCAGGAATGGAGATCAGGTCCTGCCTCTAGGAAGATGCCAGACATCGATCTCGTCCACTACGCGAAGGTGGGTACCTCAAGATCCAGCTTTATTGAAATTTGTTTGCTAAACGCTTCTTCAAATCTAGTTAATTTTTAAACACCAGTATGGTGTCTTTTACATATTACAGCATGCTTTAGAGAGAAACTTTGTTATATAAAAATGTATCAGTCTTATTGAGATTGAGTAGTGTTTATTAAAACCAAATATAAATGAGTAGAAAATTTATAAAGAATTATAATAGAAAACAGACTTTAAAAATATAAAAATACTGATGCATAATTAAAGATGAATTTTAAGCATGGCTTTGAGATTTTATAAATATATTTTAACTTCAGTCTTAAAGATGGCAAATGAAATTATATTCTTTTTTTTTTTTTTTTTTTCCAAAGGGATTTGAATCCCGAAGGGCTATTAGTTTCGTTTTGGCATTTTGCGTCGGACTCATAAATCTCGGTTCACTTTTCAAACTGTTGCCACAAAATGTTAGAGTCCTGCATTATATTTGAAGAATTAAATAATGAAAATCTGCATAAATGTATGTATATTTCTCGTATTGTGATAAAACAACGGTACATAGAGCCATCGAATTTTGAATAAGGTAATCCTCCAACGAATATGAGCATGTGGAAGACCAAATTTGAAATTTGAAATTTGTTTTATGCATCGATTTCCTATTTTTTAAAACTTTGACGAATTTTTGATTAAACAAACTCAAGGATTTCAAAGCGGAGCAACGGCAACGTTGTGCAGAAAAAACATTTTTATCTCCAGCGCGTGAGTCTCTGTATCGGAAATTCTAAAGAATGCTCGTTTTAAAACTATTTTGCGATATTGCTGTTGCGCTGGATCTTATGGTTTAAGTGCGAGGAACATGATATTTAATAAAGAAAGGCAACACACAAAATGTTAAAAAACGCCCCTTTGGACGTAATTTAAAATCTGAAACATTTCAGATTTTTTTTTTTTTTTTTTCATTTTAACGGACTGAAAAGTAGCGTATGTACACTGCGCGAAAAAACAAATGGAACAGTTCTATATCTTTCGTTCTACCGGGTCGATTGCCAAAATTTAAATTGCGTGTTTCATGTTTCGAAAGCGCGACTTATGATATATGTTAGATTTATATATTACACTGTTCTAATATAGGTATTTTGACACAAAATCGTACTTTTTCTGAAATGACAGGCCAATTTTGTTCCATATTTAAATTCTATGATTCAAATTACGCCTAAATATTAAATTTTGTAAAATTTGGAACGAAATTTAGAGAGAAATTCAAAAGTTTATGTCGGCGCAATTTTTTCTGTTTGCGCCAAGCAAAATTGACTTGGCGAAATTCTTAATATATGGCAAACTATTTTGCTTTCCTTTTCTGCACTGTTCATGAGCGAGAAAAAAGTCACATCGTTCCTACTTCCAAATAATTTTAACAAAATGCCTAAACCACATTTGATGATGCTATTAGAGCTTTCAGCAAATATGCCAATTATCAAAACGCCCCAATGTATAAACTTACGTATATCTTTGGGAATTTTGAATAAAATACTCTAATTGTTTGCCAGTATGCTTAGAAATACATCTACATTAAGATGATGGTAAAAATTTTATAGATTAGAATTCAAATTTTTTTCAAAAAATATATAAAAATTATTTAAAAATACAAATTTAAAACATAAATCATAAAAAATGGGCGAATTTTATTTGGAATGAACCTAAATTTAGAAATGAGAAAGGAAGAATCAAATAAGTTTAATAAAAAAAAAAAGAGTGATTAATAAATGCATACCAAATTTAATCAATATTGAGGAGGTAAAATTTTGAGAGGTAATTTTTTAAAAACTACTTATGTGATTTTTACAAAACTTGGCAATTTGGCATAATTTGAGTCGTAGAATCGAAGTATGGAAAAAAGGTGGCATGTTATTTCAAAAAAAGTCCGATTTTGTGTCAGAATACCCATATTAGAGCAATGCTATATATAAATCTAATACATATCCTAAGTTGCGCTTTCGAGGCAAGAAAAACGCTATTTGAATTTCGTCAGTCGGTGTAGTAGAAAGGGAAAGATGGAGCTGTATCTTTTTTGGAGGGGAGGGCAGTGTAGAATGTGCGTCGCCAGCCATCAGCTTTGTCCCCTCTGTTTGGAATTCATATCCGCTGAAAGTTTTCTGTGGCAAGCCTCTTTTGTAAATTAGTTGTTGTTATACTTCGCTTTTTAATAAGTTATGAGTATTTCAATGGCCATTTGTTTCATATTTGATAAAGAAGCTCTCCCGTTCATTGTTTTTATAACACTGGAGAGTCGATGAAAAGTACTCATCTCAACTCGTGCTGTGAACTCAATTGGTTCAGATGAGCAGAGCCAGATGGCATACAGCGTTAATTGCCAATTAATTAGCATCTGAAAATAAATTTATCTTCCACTTGTGAACAACGGCCTTCATTTCCGTAACAAAACCGAAACGAAACTGCACTTTGCGGTGTGACGTTTAGTATTTTTAATGAATGCACTTTGCTGTGTGACGTTTAGTATTTTTAATGAATGCACTTTGCTGTGTGACGTTTAGTATTTTTAATCTGCACTTGTGTGACGTTAGTTTTTTAATGAATGCACTTTGCTGTGTGATTATTTTTTAATGAATGCACTTGCTGTGTGACGTTTAGTATTTTTAATGAATGCACTTTGCTGTGTGACGTTTAGTATTTTTAATGAATGCACTTTGCTGTGTGACGTTTAGTATTTTTAATGAATGCACTTTGCTGTGTGTGACGTTTAGTATTTTTAATATATGCACTTTGCTGTGTGACGTTTAGTATTTTTAATGAATGCAGATTGTTTACTTAAAATTGTCGCTTTAAATTTTCGTCTTCGTGTAATATGAAAGCGTAATATAAATATTTGATGTGGACACCACATCATTTCCTTGTATGGCCTATTAAATCATAAACATTTTTCGCTGCATTTCATTTAAACTTATTTGCCCGAATTTCATTGGAGATATATTTCTCATTCAGTTAATTCATTTCTCACTTCGCGGCAAAGCAAAAGTACATAAGAACTCAAAACACCTTCATTAAAAATTGTAAAACACAGAAAAACGTAAAACACCAAATACAGTTAAAGAAAGAATTTTTAGAATTAAAATTAGAGTTTCTACCCAAAAACAAGTAATTCTCCCAGGGAGCAAGAAGGCAGACTTTTCGGTGTACAAAACTTATAGTTTCGATCCCACTTGGCAAAAAGACATTGAAAATGCAGAAACTTATTTTCAGTATTCTACTGAGTATCAAATGTATAAGAATGCTCGTTAGGCTTAGCACTCTACTTATTTTTTTTAATTGTTGATAATTCTACAACTATTGTATGCACATTAACTAAAGGCATAAAAACCTTAACTAGAAGAACGTAAACCACAGAATTATATCACTTTTAAAGCAAATAAACTGCCACAATTTTCCAAAATATTAAAATAAAAAAACTGAGCTCATCGAGCCGGTAGCAGAATGAGAATATATATCTATATATATATATGTAATATATATATATGTAAAATATAAAAAATACGATGGCTTTGCTCTACGCGAACAAGCAACCCCCAATTAACTTTCCGCAATTTTCAGGATCTTCCCCCTAGACCAGTACTTTCCAGAACATTCGAGCCTATCCTATAACGTAACCGCTTATATAAATAACGAATTCGCGCCATTTTGCGTCATAAGCTCCTCTCTCCCTCCGCTGTTAAGATATATGCTGCTGCGCTTCTCATCTTTCCTCCCTTTGTTAGAATAATTATGACGTCAAAAGCCTATATTTCATTGTATTTAATTTAAAACACTATTTTATATGTAATTAGGAGAATTTCATCTAAAAGAAAAATTATCGACCATTTGAATTGAATAAAGATGTGCAATTGAAAGCAAAATCCTTCTGTGTTATCATTCTGTTATATTCCACTCAGCCAAACAATGCCCGTACTCTGAAACTCTGAATGCCAAGCTTCGTCACTCATGTGCCCGACTGCTAAAATATCACACACACACACACACACACACACACACACACACACATATATATATATATATATGGTGCGGCCGACTGCAACTAGAAATGGAGATGCACAAGTACATGTTACAGTAGTCCGATAGGCAAAATATCAACGTTTTACCACTACTCGTTTTTTTATTGCTTTTCCGTGTAGATACAGACGTCACGAAAAAAATTTCTTCTGAATCTATTTTAAATCCATTTTATAATCCGTTTCGGAAACAAGAATCCTTTATTCTACCCGTGCGTACATATGTTACTTAAAAATATCGTTCAAATGGAATTGAGAGCGGTCAAAGTGGATATTTTCGGTGAAACCCGGTGCGTACAGATGTTACTTAAAAATATCGTTCAAATGGAATTGAGAGCGGTCAAAGATGATATTTTCGGTGAAACCTGATAACCGAAATTTTCTCAATTACAATACTTCCTTTACTTCGTACAAGGTCAAATATTAGGTCCAGAGGACATTTTTACTGCCATGGACTTAATGGAAACATAAAAACCACATAATTCAATTACGCTTAAAGCAAAAAATGCACAAGTTACCAATGCATAAAAATAAAAACACTAAACTCATCGGCAGGCAACAGAGCGGGAATATATATATATATATATACATATGTTGTATGAACTTAAATCCATTTAGTGCGAATACAAGTTATTATTACTTGCGCAACTGCTGCAAAGTTAGTAATAATAATTTATTTCCTAAACAGTATTGATTATTGATTATATCTCCTAAGTTTAATTAAAGTAGAATTATTTTAAAAGTGTGAATCCATACTGGTAAGTTTATATTTGAAAGATGTTTTGAAGTAATTTGAAAGCAAACTGTTAATAATGTTTTAACGGGGACTGGAGTTAATCATCACGAAGAATACTATTTCAATTGTAAAGGAAAAATTAAAACATGTAATTATTGTCATTGATCGGAAATTAGTTGACTTTTCAAGGGGAACAAACAACTCCCGTTCAA